ACAACAATAAAAATTAATTGGCGCTCCGGGGCGACTTCATTGATTCCAGTGGCGCATTTGCTTTTTCAGCTGCAGGAAAACCCGGAAAAACCTGCAGCAGCACATCATCTGAAGATCTTGATCTACCAATGATCTCTCTTTCATAAAACAAAATGTATGGTGTCTCCAGAGGCTCCAATAAATTCAATGCATCGCCAGAACACTTCGTGACCCGACTATCATCAAACTTAAACCAGTCCGTTTCGTCTTTGACCCGCAAATTCAGTGAAAAAGTTTTCCTCTTGACGCGAAAACTTTACATTCAATTGTAATTATTCCATAATTGATTTTCGATGGTATCAAATTATGACTACTGCTTTTCGTCGCATCGTAGAGAATTTACATGTAAATAATAACTAACTCATTATTTTTTAGGATGCTCCACGTCATATAGGTGAAGAAGTCGAATAGTTTTTTGCGCGAATTTTAAATCTCATATTTCTGTGTTTTATATATTTAGTCTATGGAGAGGCTATGTGAGCGGTACACAAGAGATGAAGTACTAGTTCACAAGCCACTTCATCCAAATCAGCATGCATATACTCCGGGAAGGTCTACTGATACGGCCCTTCACCATGTGGTTGTGATCCACGCTGGGTATATTCATAGATATCGAGGGAGCGTTTGATGAAACAACCTTTCCAACAATTACCCAGCAACTACACTCCAGGAATGTACCCCTGGCTGTATGAGAATGGATACTCAAGATTGCTCTCTAGTAGAGCAATAAGTATCAATGTAGAAGACTAGTGAGAGGACTAGTCATGAGGGGATATCCACAAGGAGGGGTATTATCACCTCTTCTCCCACATACCTGTCCACCTTCCTGGAAAGGACAGGACGGACGATGACCTAGGAGGACAACTCCTTGGGAGGATGTACAACGGGAGACATCTGGCCTAAGTGCTATGGGCCCACATTCACCCTCCCTACTCTACAGATACAGATTGTCTTCAATTTTGAAGTGTTTCAGAATGACGAGAGAGTAATTCAATATGCCTTCTCATCACAATTT